CAACGCTGAAATCCTATGTCACGTGAACTGTGGTGTGCTACTGATATCGATATAAGTAGTATATATGGTGAGTAAGGAATAGAATATCTGACAGCAGAAGATTGAGAAGATCAAGAAGAGAAGAACAGAAATAAAAAGCAATTTGTGTGGAAATCCAGGAACAATGAAGTCTGAGGCAATTGAAGAACATTTTGCAAATAGTGTATCATAGCATGGTTTTTGTATTTTACCAAGTAACGTTGTAATTTGCGCTTAATACATAGTTGGTTGTCCTCACCCGTGTTCTCATTCACAACATTTTGTGTCGCTGCCTCCAGGGAAGAAGATTCCATGGCCGAAGGAATTTGAGGACGGGGATGTGCTGAGGTTTCTGAAGGAGTTCGAAGCTGTGGCGTAGCTGTTGGGGGTGAAGGAGCCGAAGGCGAAGACGGTGGTGCTGGGGACGCTGCTGAGAGGCAGAGCGAAAGCTGTATATGACAGCCTGGACGGCGCGGGCGGTAAGACGACATGGGAGGCAGTCACGGAGCCGTTGACCGTGGAGTTCGATAGCCCAGTGGACAGAGAGGAAGCACTGCAGAAGTTCCGAGTGGCGAAGTTGCCGATCGATGGTGATCCGCTGGTGCTGGCCGTGGAGCTTACCTAGTTGCTGCGTCGCGTGCTGCCAAATCTGGATGAGGAGTCGTATGCACAGTTGTTGGCGTCTCAGTTTATCGAGAGCGTGCCTGTTGCCGTTTCCCAGCAGCTGAGACTGGTACACGCCGCGCAACCTATGGATATCAGTGAGCTTGCAAAGGTGACGCGACAGTTGATGACACAAACAGTAGCTCCGGTCGCGTGCGGAAGTCAGGAGATAAGCAGCATTGAGAAGAAGATTGAAGAACTGCAGCACGAGATTGCGGCATTACGAGTGATTCGAAAAAGGAATGATAAGTGTTTCGCATGTGGAGGGACAGGACACTGGAAGATAAACTGTCCAACACGACGAAAACGGAGATATTTTAGACGTTACGTGTTTCCTTCTTACTCTAGGGATCTGGGGGTTGCTGCATTAGTAGATAGAGTGGCAGTCTATGCAAAAGTGAACGTAAATGAACTAGATTTAGTGTGCCTAATCGATACAGGGGCAGCAGTTTCGTTAATAGGTAAAGAGCAATGTAAAAGTTTTAAGCCGTGTAAAGTCGCAGTTCACACTATAGGAGGGCATATGTTAGAGGTTTTGGGTGTGTATAACAGTATCGTAAAAGTGGATGGTTCGGAGATAAGTTTTCCGTTCGTGGTAACCGCAAACCTGTCGAGACCAATATTAGGAGCAGATTTCCTAAGAGAAGTAAAAGCCACAGTTGACCTAAGAAGCGGTAAGGTGGTCACGAAGTACGGTTCATTCTCAATACATGAAAGTAGTGAGGTGGCTGAGGTTAGAGTGGCAACAGCCGTTGTGACGAAGAAACCAAACATAACCGAGTTGTGCAAAAAGCATGCGAAACTGTTTACTGGAGAAGGAGAACCGTACGGATTTTGCGACAAAGTAAAGCACGAAATCCCGATAAAGAACAATGGAGGAAGTATATTCACAACACATCGTGTCCCTGTGCACTTAGAGGCTGAAGTAAATCGACAGGTCCAAGAGATGCTGAAAGAAGGAATAATTGAGGAGGCGGACAGCCCGTATAGCTCACCGGTACTCTTGGTAAAGAAACCGAATGGGAAATATAGATTTTGTGTTGATTTTAGAGAACTGAATAATATAACAGAACTAAAGCCGTGTGCAATGCCAACAGTAGTGGAAACATTAGATCGGCTGCAGAATGCCACGGTGTTTACAGTGTTGGATTTGCGGTCAGGTTATTGGCAGCTGCCTATAAAAGAGAGCGATCGAAGCAAGACAGCATTTACCATACGTGATAAACAATATCAATTTAGACGAATGCCGTTCGGATTGGCGGGCGCACCTTTTACGTTCAGAAGATTAATGTCGCTACTGCTCAGGGATCTGGATAACGTCGAAGTGTATGGCGACGATGTAGTCGTATACAGCCAGACAGAAACAGATCATGTCAAGCATGTGGAAGCGGTCCTAAAGCGAATTGAAGAATTCGGACTTCGAATTAATAAGGACAGGTCACAGATGGCGAAAAGTAGCATCACGTTGTTGGGGCATAAAGTGGGAAATGGAGAAATAAAACCGCTGCCGGAGAAAATTCTGACTATAAAGAACGTTGCCGTACCGAATTCGAAAAGGAAATTGAGACAGTTCCTGGGAAAAGCGGCGTTCTACAGTCGGTTCATCAAGAATTTCAACGAAATAGCAGCACCCCTTTATAAGTTGTTGAGTAACACTAAATTTTCGTGGACTGAAACCGCCCAACAAACGTTTAATCAAATCAAAAACATGCTGGACGACCGCCAGATGACGCTCAGACTGCCCGAACTGGAGAAACCGTTTACAGTGACAACAGACGCAAGTGACCATGGTATAGGTGCCGTTTTAAGTCAGTCTGATAGAGTAGTGGAATACGCAAATCGCGTTCTCACGCCTGCCGAACAGAAGTATTCAACGATCGAAAAGGAGTGTTTAGCGATTGTGTGGGCAGTAGACAAGTGGAGACCATATCTGTTAGGTAAACGATTTCACATCGAGACTGACCATAAACCTCTGCAGTGGCTACAAACAGCACGAGACCCACGTGGGAAGTTGTCGCGATGGATGATGCGTCTGCAGGAGTATGACTTCAGTATAGAGCATGTTCCAGGGACGGAAAATGTGATGGCGGACTATCTGTCAAGAACAGACATGGAAGCCGAGCTTCCATTGACAGCATACGCAGTGAACAGTAGAGAGGGAGACCCACTAGAACTCGTCCGGCAACAGAAATCTGATCCTAAACTGCGAGAGGTAATCAGAGTGATAAGAGAGGGGGCAGATTTTGACAAACGAGCAATGGACAAGGAGGCAATAATGTTGCTTCGGCAAAAGGAAAGACTGAAAGTGAACACATATGGAGCTCTGGTCTGGCAGGATGATGACAAAAATTGGGTGGCTGTGATCCCGAAAGACTGGCTGCGTAAGATGATACACGAATGCCATCAGGTAGCGCACACTGGTATAGCAAGAACGACAGATTTACTACGGCAAAGTGCATACTGGCCAGGCATGAGAGACGATGTGGCCCAATATGTGTTGACGTGCCAGCAGTGCCAATTAATGAAAAGCGATAGATACATGCAACCGCCATTGCAGTCGGTCCCAGTAACCGCAGTTGGTGATCTATGGTCGGTAGATGTGATGGGACCATTTCCACAGACGGATAGCGGCAACCGATACTTACTTGTTATGACGGAACATGCTACACGATGGGTCGACGCTGTACCGATTGCCGACCAGCGGGCGAAAACAGTGACCGAAGTAATAATCCGGCACATTGTAGCAGGTCATGGCGTACCGAAGATGATACTAACCGACCAGGGTCCCTGTTTTGAAAGTGACGAGTTTAAGGCCCGTTTGAAGCAGTTCGGTATCAAGAGGATACGAACTACACCGTATCACCCTCAGACGAATGGGCTTACGGAAAGAAACAACCGGACATTAAAGGAATGGTTAGCATCTAAAGGAGGGAATTGGGAGAAAGAGTTACCACTAATTTTGCTGGCGCATCGTGCCTCCATCCAAGGAACAACTAAGAAATCACCTTTCCTCCTTATGTATGGTAGACAGCCACGACTTCCGATGCATAATATGACGTGGCCACAGCAGCAGAAGTGGACGGCAACAAGATCAAGGAAAGAGAGGACGGAGGCAATAAAGAACGTGAAAAAGAAACAAATATCAGACACCAAGAAGGTGGAACAGCAGAGAAGAGCATGGAAGCCTTTTAGAGTGGGGGACCTGGTAAAGTGTAGAGAACGGAGAGCTAACACTGAAGGGGGACCAGGGTCAGGAAAGCTGACCCCGAAATGGGAGGGACCGTACATTATCACGGAGAGACGCGGCCCAGTTTACACGATCCGGAGAGAAGACAAGCAGAAGCGTGTAAATGCCAGTCAACTACAGAGATGGTTTCAGGAACATCATGAGCACGAGTCACGAACAGCACCAAAGGAGACAATGGTACGGCGATCAGAAAGATTGCGAGAACAGCTTATTAAAAGGGGGACGAGTGTGGTGTGAGCTACTGATATCGATATAAGTAGTATATATGGTGAGTTAGGAATAGAATATCTGACAGCAGAAGATTGAGAAGATCAAGAAGAGAAGAACAGAAATAAAAAGCAATTTGTGTGGAAATCCAGGAACAATGAAGTCTGAGGCAATTGAAGAACATTTTGCAAATAGTGTATCATAGCATGGTTTTTGTATTTTACCAAGTAACGTTGTAATTTGCGCTCAATACATAGTTGGTTGTCCTCACCCGTGTTCTCATTCACAACAGAACTATTCTCGCATGTAGCCATCGAATCATCATTCAAACCGTAAGGCTCTTGTGTGATGCTGATAAATTTAAAAACTTCTAGTTAACAAGTGAAAGCTTTGAAAGAAGCCCTTGACCGTATTATACAAATATCAACAATAAAATCATGGAAGGAATCATAATCAGATCACTACATCAAAATGAACACTCACACAGGACTCATAGTTAACTGCAGTGATCATGAAATCACTGATACGTAATGCCACGTAGTCACGAATAAAATTTTTATAACTCATGTGATATTATGCATCTTGAATTATATGAAAGCGATAACGCAAATATTGAAAACAATGTTTAATATTATATAAAAAATATAACATCAGCTATCATGTTACCAATCACTAACATGTACAAAGTATCATGAAATAACTGTCCAATTTAGTAAGAAGACAGATGAAATTTTAAAGTATTCTAATTGAAAGCGGAATTGAGACTAATCCCTCACAGTTTTCAAAGCAATTTATAGGACTTTTTCATAGATCATTCATCACTTCTCTTTCTTATAAGCAATTATCTTCAAAATCTACATCCAATTCATATAAAAAATAGAAAGGCGACCAAAGGAATTACAAATAATAAGTACCAACGTGATATGTGTTGTTCATGTTCTTCCGTTACCGAGGTACTCATATTCTGTGGAAAAAAAAAGAATTAGCAGGTGTCACTAAATATCAAAAATATACAAAACGTTTTTCTGTTTCTTCAGCATTTTTCATGAGGTATTCACTTACCTCCACCTCAGTGATCCCCAATGTTGTTTCACTGTGTTTCATTGTTGTTGAACTATTCAAATCGTTGACATCCGGGTTCTTCTAAATAATTCAATCAGAAGTATTGATTACTAAACAACAAATATCAGATACAGCTTCATTGAAGCAATCTATTGAGGTTACATATTTTTCTACAGAGTATCATAAATCATTGTTCCGGGATTCAACAATGGTAGTCTACATAGTTTCACTAATTCTTCTATTGTGATACACAACTTTTAACTGTTTACGCTTCTTCACTTAAACTGATTTCATCGGTACATTTTTACCATTGAAATTCATCCACGATTTCTCTTAGGAGTTTCAAAATTACGAATTATTCGCTTATCTGAAAACATAATTCGACTTGAAACTTTGATGGTGAGCGATGCTTTGATTCATTGTTTTTTCTTCACATGAAAAGGAAGCATGTGTTCTTATGTCGTCAACCTATGCAAAGCTTTTATTCAGTCACTGAGGATGGCTAACATGCTATATCTTATCGATAACAATAAAAGTTTTTTTTCCAGTTAAAACATTTGCTCAGAATGTGAAATTTGATGTTATTGAAAACGACCTATTAAGTTTAACAAGTACCAACCTCAACACGGCAGTCGTTCACTTTCAAGTAATGAGTGTTCTGATCGTTACTTTCTATACACGCCCTCTCTCTTTCACACCAAAAACATCTCACAATCGATGTCGTTGCATTTTGGCATGTTTCACTTGTATTGTACTGCAAACAACGGTCTTTGAAATGAAAAAGGTGATTTCATATAAGATAATCAAACAAAAGAAAAGAAAAATACAAAACCTGTAACTGTCACTGAATGATGTGATGGTAATTTCTGAGTTATGTGATTATTACATTCTGTGGAAAACGGTCAACATGGTGCATCATGCAGAACTCAGTACACCTTCAATTTCTGTTCTATTTCAAGACTGCATTTTTAGATTGAATGAAATTAATTTGAGTACAAAGAAGAAGTGACGATATTTTGACAAGGGGAAGTTGATGACTTTTATTAACCGTTCGGATTCAGACATCTGCACACTACGTTGTCACTGAGTTCAGCAAAACGTATTGCAATTGACTTTGATGGTCATACACTTTCTTTCCATGAAATCGTTTTTGTGAACGAGATAAGTGCATTAAACTCGGTTGTTCATAGACACAAAATTCGAATTGAACTGTGTTGATTCATTTTAACAACAAAGGAAAAGCAACATCGTTCTTTCAATCGTCAACGACAACTTCAATGCTTCAGAAAAAATCTACATCACATATATATCAAAATAATAACGAACACTTCCTTGTCAATGCACAGTCACTTACTGACATCTTATATTTTTCGAAACCAAAAACATTCCATCATTCATTTTGTGACTTTATGTTCAAGTAAAATTCATCAGGGTTAAAATCTTATTGTTGATGAAAACCGCGAGTCATTCATTCTTAATATTCAACAACGAATCAACGGGTTGATATAAATAGTAAGTGTGAAAATTTTAGTGCGAAAATTTAAGTGCGAAAATAGTAAGTGCTGATTAAATCAAATTTCACGTACCTCTCATGGCTTCAAACTCCACCAACGTACCACTTTTGATCCATTTTACTGGAACAGATATCTCAGGAGACCTTGTGTGACCTTGTGTAACAAAATGAAACGAAAAAGAGATATAGAATTTCGACTTCTTTTGGAAGCGAAACAAGTTTATTTGCTTTACTTAAATAGAGGGCAAATCAAGGATCTGTAGTGTTTTTCATTACATACAGAGTGATGACTGTTCTCAAAAATCTATGGTTTACATCGTTCTGATTTTTGAAACCGAACCGTTAAAATAAAAATGAAATAGTTACGTTTCTGAGTTATTTAACGATGAAATCAGCTGGACGTCCGGGATAGATGTGCTCATCCCCTTACATATTATTTCACAATGCATATTACACGGAGGCAACATTCAAATCTACAAATCAAGGAACAATGGTGATTTGTATATCAATCTCAGACTCGCGTTTCATCTTATTTAAGATTTATCAAAGACTGAAAACCAGCACCATTCATTTACATTTACATTCGGTTATCCACTCATCCAGTCAGTCCATATACTCAATGACTTGTGAAACTGTATAACGCTTTAAATGATTTTTGAATTGTAAATGAATCTTCCGATTAATGTTGAGAAACCGTATTTGATTCCACTGCTATTCCTCCACTCCATGTTCACGCACAATGCTTGTGAGTTCAAGCAACATCCAGATAATCCTAACAGTGTGCATATATATGAATAAGTGACTGATCAGTTGCAGTACAAATCACTCATGTGAGCACTGAACCAAAGAATGTAAAATGACAGTTATTTTCATTGTGTAAATGACTCACCAATGCACTTTAACCTGTCAATGCAGAACATCTGGCGAAGCATTTGATGAACCTTCTCACATTCAGTCATAACCACTGCATCTCACCTAATCACGTACACTCAAAACTCTTCTTCAAACTCAGCTGCATCTATCAACAACACATGTTTATTTCAGTGAAGCAAGACGATTGAACATTTCGAAGATGAAATATCATTTCCAAACTGGCACTGCTTTATTTCTGCCGCATACAAAACACATTTATTTTTACAATGAGTGTTGATATGATCAAAGACTGCAAGTTTGATTGTATTACTGTGAGTGTGTGAACACATGAGTGGATATAATTTGAGTTTGATATAGTCATTCATATATCCATATCTGGGTGAGTTTACCGATAATCAAAATTGTAAGAAGTTACCAAAATATTAGGACAGTGTGTCCATGGAAATCATTCCAATTTCACTCTGCACAATGAGTCACAACACTCAAATGACATTTCAATGAACTGACTTTACGCCAGAAGAAACTGAATAACATTCAGTGTTAGAAAGCTCTTTCTTCCTAGGATCGCACAACCTATTCAGGTGCATTTCTGAAAAGAGTAAGCGTTTTAGCTGTAACGGTTGCAGAAGGCAATATGCAGCGAGAAGAATGTACATTATACACATGTCGATTGACTGGGCTGCAAACTTCTGAGTGGCGATCACTAAATATTTATCGTCAGGAAGGACGAAGAAGTTAGAAACTGATGCTTGCTGAAGTACTTTGTGCTGAGATGTCTATATTGTACCAAAAATATAATATTGAATAAGGCTAATAATAATGATAGTATTCATTCGCTGAAATATTTCTTACCATCTTCACAAGGTATTGATCCATAGATTTCCGATTGCAACCTACTTTCCTCAATTTCCGTAGGAATCTGAAAAAGGATTGTTTAGTTGTCTGAGAAAAGATCTGCTACAAAACAATCATTTATATAGATTCGAATAATTACTGGAATAATATAAAATAAATAAAAATCAACAGAATATTACTCTTTCCGTATAGTAGGCGAACATTCACAGCCAGTTACTATTTGGCACGAACAGGTTATTGTTTCTTCTGAAATAACTTTACTTCTGATTATTCACTGTTCCTACCACTTGCTTGATTGATAACAGTGTCAACTAGTCCGCTTGCCTATTACACAATGTCGTGTTCAGTGTAACTAGATTCATTTGACAATATTGAACAACATGAAATAGTAGAATGATGTGAATTACTTGAAACAATATCACATTTTCACTAAATTATACAACTCACGTTATCATAATAGAACGACACCTTCCCATTTGGGTGTATTAAACTCGTCATTGTGGCTGTAACCTCTACAGTAAGAAGAATATTGATATTCAGGATTGAGAATTTAAACGATGGGCAAGTTATTGTTTGATGTAACACTTTGAACAGATTTCAGTGGATATTAACTGTGTTTTTTGAAATGCCTTCTTCAGATGGATTGGTAATCAATACATTGAAGTGAGCGTCATTGAAATGAGACGGACATGAATGCCTTTCTAACAAATGTCAAATGCGTAGATTCTGAAGTTGTATTACAATTATCAAAACAATAAGTCGTTTACTTTACCATCAGGGATCTGATAGTCAGGGATGTAATAACATTCGCGCAATATCCTAAATAGTTCAATTTGAAACGATGGACACTCAGTACACATGACATGATCTTAGGAGTGTTTGTCTACATAATGAACTTGAGAAATAAATTGGCGGTATATATATAAAGATATTTGTGAATGACTATGTGATGAAAGGATGTGTAGTTGAATATTATGTGTGCAGCAATGGCTTTGTCACCAATGTAGATCACAACTGTTTTATTTTGGATCACAGACTGGTTATCAAGTTCCACCTAAACTTGAAATAATAATACATCTCTGCATTCATTTTCCAAAAAGCAGAATGAGATTGTAGCTTTAATTATCCATGATGATTTATTTTTTGCCTGTCAAATCCAGTCATTCACAGTTCATTTCAACTGTTCCGAATGTTTCAATGGATGTACTTAATTAGTGAGTGAATTTCACATTCAATTCTACCATCGTTTGCCAGAATAGAAGCACCTTCATTCTTTTGTTAGTATTTTGGAAAGTTGGATTTGTTTAAAATGAATAGGTAAGTGTAAAAGTTTCACGCGAGTGATCGAACGACCGATCGATGTTTACTCACCTAAACCATTAACGTTTATCGAAAAATTCGTTCTGACTCCTAATAGTTCCTCTGAAATAATGAAAATCAAAAGGGATGTTTAAATATACTTTTGAACACGGACTGACGCTTTATACAAGTTGTCGTCTCCATTCAAAGTTTTAAAAGAACCGGAGTAGTTAAATGCTAAACCATCTCTCATGAGAAAAGTCCAAAGAATATTATCAATTCAACAATATGATGAACGTTTCAACACAATCAACTGAGAAGAATAATTTCATTTCTTTAAAATTTGTTCTCGAAGCTTCTTACAGAATAAAAGACGTTTAATAGGTACTCGACAATACAAGAATAATGTGTTTTTTGGATCCCTTTATTCATGATCAAAAAAGAGAATAACTGAATTATATAAGAACTTACTCTCATCCAAAACTCTGGATTCAGAGTTCTCAAATTCTTCTATGTAACTATCAATAGTTCCAATGTAGGTATTTTGAAATTGAAATACATTTTCTCCGTCTATTGGATGAAAACATGCCACATCATTGATAAATTTGTAATGAATGAATAAACAAGTTTAAATAATAAAACTGAACTGTATTTGGTTTGCTATACAGAGTCAAACCATGTTGAACAATGAAAAAAATATTGAAAGGAGTTTTGCATGTTACAAGTAGCACAAAACTGATTCGCTGAATAAAATGGAATCAACTTTGATTCATTAACATAAATTGGATCAACAAAGCGTATTAATAATTTGACTTCAATGAAAATTTATAACTTACGATTTTTGTAAATATCAATTTGTTCGACGTGAAAACCGTAAAAAGTAAACGAGAATTGAGGTGTAGCATACTGCAATGATGCAAACATATAGAAAAATATCTTTATTATAAAGTGTAATCAACTCACGTATATGTAGGTCGACATTTTTTTGAAACGGTCACTGGAAACTGGTTGAGGTTGATAACGTTGAATCCTCATTGAATATTTATAATGAAAAGACTGGAATATGTGTATTAGAATGCATCAGATTACATACATATCGATAAGTATCATTCTCAATAATGACAATATCATAAGGACTGAAATCAGAGGTTTCGCAAATGTCATTGCAGTTGAAACGTTTGTAATGCCAAACAAATATAAGATAAATTTGTATCCATAGACTAGGCGAAAAGTTATATGTAAAATGATCAGGATGAACAAATCAACGGCATCTCATGGAGTCGAATTCCAATTTGAATTCGTATGTTCATTCAACACTTACCTCATCTTATCGTGTCAAGTTATAAATCAAATTATTATAGAATTTGTCAGGTTTATATAGACTTTTGAAGTGTTTGGTTGTTCCTTTCTGATTCGATGATTAAAAGTAACCATTAGAAAGATTGAATTCAATAAAATCAGATGTTCATTATAAACCAATGATGGAGGTGTATGGCGTCATCGCTAAGCAATATTCTTCTGACTACTGAGATCATGAGCTGAAAATTATTCACAGTTGGTTGAAATTTTTGACCCCTGTGGATGAAACATCTCATCGATGCGATAGACGATATTCTGAAATGAGTGATTGGTTAAATTTTAGTCCAGAATGTGTGCTCACATGTTTACGAACAAACAGTTTGTTGTCTGTAATAATGTATTGATTATTCGTCAACCATGAGTTGTTTTGATTTGATTGGTTATAATCAAAGTAGCATAAACTGTTTTGATTGATTGGTAACAAATACTCTATTACACATGGGTTTTGCTTCAATAAGCACATTTTGTTATACGATTCCACTGTCGTTTTTTTTTGTCAAGTTGTAACTTCTGAACAATGTCATTCCCATTCTATTTGTATACCACATTATAATACTGACTGTCAATATATGTCCAGATGAATGAAGATAATGATTTTCTTATTGAGTACATTGAAGTAGAACCACTTGTGTTCAGTTTCATAGATTGAGTTCTCAAATCATTGTAATCAGAGGAATATAATGCATTCCGCTGAATGTGAACTGTTGAAAGTAGTGAACGATTTCATAAACCAGACACAGATTCGAAGTTACAACAGTGATTATTGTATCTGAAGACTAAAGCTTTTGTCAATACACACAGAGAAGACCGATATTCATCTCAGTGTTTCAATGAATGATTTACATAAATTATTTCAGCTAGTATTAACTCTTATTTCAGTTAAAGCATACTAGGGTATCACTGTCACAAAACCAGACACAAATTCGAAATTACATCAGTAATTATTGTATCAGAAAAGTAAAACGAGAATACTGTCCTCCGTTTAGTGTCTGAACGAACGAACTCCAAACATTATTTGGACTTGTACCAATTATCATCTGTGTTCCAAAATAAAAGGAAATCACTGTGACAAGAGAGTGTCAAAGGTATATTTAATTCACCCCAAACATAGAATACTGATAGGTGAATGAAAATCAATACTTTCGTAACTGAACAATATTTTCAGTGAATTCAGTCAGAAATATTTGTATACCACATTATAATACTGACTGTCAATAGATGTCCAGATCAAAAAAGATAATGATTTTCCTATTGAGTACATTGAAGTGGAACCACTTGTGTTCAGTATCATAGATTGAGTTCTCAAATCATTGTAATCGGAGGAATATAATGCATTCCGCTGAAAGTGAACTGTTGAAAATGTAGAACGATTTATTAAACCAGACGCAATCGGAACTATAACATTGATCATTGTATCTGAAAACTTAAATGTTTGTCAATACTCAAATAGAAGACTGAGTTCCATGTGCGTGTTTCAATGATCTATTCCCTCACATCAGTTGAGCTTGTACATTATAACATCTGTGTTCAAATATAAAACAAAATCTCAGTGATAAGGTAATGTCAAGTGTATACTTAACTTACACTAAACATTGAATACTGGCAAATGAATAAAATTCTACACATTCATAACTGAATAATAATTTTGGTGAAATAAGTCAGGAATGTTTGTTTTTGCGTGATATTTAAAATTAGTTTTCCTCCTGACAGAGTAGATGTGTATTGTTTTACTTTCGACAGATATGAACACTAATCAAAATGTTGTTACCTTGACAATCACTGTTTGTTGTCAAATAATAAGACTGTTCGGGTAATCTCGTGAATTCTTCAACATCAAAATTGTTTTCAGTGGTGCATTGTCAATTCAATGTGGTTGACCAATATCTAATTACGAAAGGAAAAGTTATCTGTGCATGTGATAGTGTAGATCAGTTAATCTGCTTGAGAACATTATGATTCGGATCATGAAACATTCAGTGAAGTGTCTCCTTATACCTTCATGTCTATTTCGCATATTGTTATTAGTAAATGTGTTGTAAGTATGAAGTATGTTTCACAACATAATGAGGCTACATGCTTTTAAGGTTATGCGACATCAGATCTTACATTTTGCCAGGTCATGTATATAACCTCTTATTCTCTAATCTTCTTCATAATCCTTTGACAAGCTTTAAAAAAAAAAGCGTTTGCTGTATTGTGAGTATTACAGAGAGCAGTCGACAAGGTGTTTGGTGAACCTCTTGAAGTCATCGGTAAAATGACAATAAATAGACTTCTAATGATTCGCCAAAACCTGAAAGGCGATTTCCTAATAATAACCATCAATTTCGTTCACATATTTTTAATCGTATAGCTTCCGGTTGAAGCTGTAAAAATGCAAATATAGATGATGCTATAGTGATCTGTGATGAAACAGAGTAGTTTAACAAAATTATCCAAAGATAATGAAACTCATCGAAGAGGGTCTCAATGGTAGAGTAAGAAACGGACTAAAGTTGACTTTGCAGATTCGGTTGTTTCAGGTACGGAAAGTAATTCAATCTAATCTACATCCTCAAAAGCCAGACAAATATGCAGTGATGACAAAAATGGTGATGATGAACTTGATATAATTAAACAAACTGTATGGGAAACAAGCTACAGAACCATCTCAATTATTGACTGCTATCTGAAATCAGGAAATCAAGTTGATTAAAATATGATGCAGAATAGGAATGTTGGACGACAAAATATTGAATTCAAAGGAAACATGGCATCGTAGATTTCAGAGAACAGAATATTGATATCCTTAAAAAGCATTCTATTCTGCCGTATACCGAGCTGTTTACTGTAACAAGAACCTAATCGGTACAGT